AATCACTCGTACGCACAACTTAAGAACAAATCTGTGCGTACGAACGGTTTTTGCATGAGGCCCAATGTTCTCCGAAATTTACTTTAAGAAACCTCTATTTTTGCTGTCCTTAACTCATTTATTTAGCTTTCAGCTACTGCCTTGCTAATTTTAGCTTTCAACTAAATTTAGCTTTTAGGTCCAATTTTCCAAAATTTAGTTGTTAGTTTTAATTTTGCCAATGTAGTTTTTATTATGTTCTGTTAATTTCAGCTTTTAACTACAGTTTTGCTCTTATTAGCTATTAGCTAGGACTTTCTAGCTTTTAGACGCATTTTTAACTATGACTTCGTCATTTTTAGCTTACAGCAATGGTTCTGCTAAATGGTAGCTTTTTACAACAATTTTGCATTTTAAAGTTTTTAGCAAATGTTTTGCTGTTTTTAACTTTTAATTATTGTTTTGTGAAATCTAGCTTTTAGTAATTTTTTTCTGCTTTTAAATTTTGCCAATTGTTTTTCTTACTGCAACTTTTGGATATAATATTGCTACATTTTATCTTTTACCTACAGCTTTGCAAATTACATTTTTCAGCTGCTATCAGTGGTGGACACAGTTCCCTTAAAGTACTAAAGCACTAATAGGGGAACTAATTTCCTGATTAGTGCTTTAGGGCTTTTGCTCATTTTAAAATTTATTAGTGGATTAGCACTTGCTAAATTTATAGGCTAAATTTAGAAGCTCTAACTGAGGTCTGTGAATGTTATTGATCAACGTAAATATCAACAGCTGAGGGTGAAAGCTGTCACACATTTTGTTCATATGTGTGTCACTTATCCACCAGGTGACATATTGACAATATATGAACTCAAATACAGTTGTGGAATGTCAATGATGAGTCTTAAGAGCAACATGGCAACATGTGACTCATGTTGTCTGTTGAATAATGTTCATGGGTTGACTTGGTTATTTTAGTGCTTTAGAATTAGCTTTTGCTAAAACTTTCAGGTCATTAGTGCTTTAGAATTAGGGGACCTAAATATTTGAGTTAGTGTTTTAGGGCTAGTGGAACTGATTTTTAGATTAGTGCTGCCCACCACTGTCTACAATATTATTACATTCTAGCCTTTTTGCTAATTTCAACTTTTTGCAACAGTTTTGGTGATTCTAGGTTTTAGTTCAGGTTTTGCTGATTTTTGCTTCAAGGTAAGCTTTTGTTTATTCTAAAGTTTTAGCTACCATTTTGATTATTTGAACTGATTGTCAATCAATTCATCAAATTACTGACAAGTCATTTAACACTCAGCATCAACACTGCATTATTACAGGAAGAACATTTTGTCTTATTCAATAAGTGATTTATGATCACTATGTAAATCATAAATTCGTAGGAAACTGTACTTATTTTCCCCACTTCTAAACCCAGTTATCTTTTATCTTGGGATGCTGAAGGCTATCATTAAAGACAGCACAACAGTATCTCTATATCTCGTCAGGAGCAGCTCTGCTCTGAGCGGAGGCGTAGCTTATTTCTGTTCAAACGTTTCTCTCTCTCTCCCCCACCCCCACCCTCATTACTTTAATTAATTTAGTCTCTTTCTGTTGTCTCTGCCTCACGTCATCTTAATTCTTTACCTGCAATAATGTGAAGCGTATTTCCAATTCAGTCACAAGCAGGTGACAGATCCTGGTCCCGAGCAGCTGGTGCAGCTTCAGCACGGCTCTCTCTGTATTTTTAGAAACAGAATTTGGCTCTTCTTTGTTTCCTTCACACCTTATCTGTGTCTGCAGGGTCTGGCTCATCTCCATGGGCACAAGGTCATCCACAGAGACATCAAGGGACAGAACGTCCTGCTGACCGAGAACGCCGAGGTCAAATTAGGTCAGTCTGCTGTTTCACCTGCACTTAGCTGAAGTAGGTTCAGAATTGGGTGGTCAGTAGGAGGTGTAAAGTTTCACTTGGCTAAAGACTTGCATTACTTTTCCTGTGTGACTTAACTTTCTGCTTTTATGCTTAAAACCAGCCTATTCATCCCTTTGTAACTCTGCCCACAGGGACTCTTTCCATCCTCTTTAAAGTCTAATAAAAAAAGGATTATTGTGTGTGTGTGTGTGTGTGTGTGTGTGTGTGTGTGTGTGTGTGTGTGTGTGTGTGTGTGTGTGTGTGTGTGTG